CTGGCTGGGGAATTCTGGGAGCTGAAGTCCACACGTCTTAAACGTGCCAAGGTTGAGAAACCCTGCTTAGCCTAACGACCCCCATCAGACATTGGAGACCTTGTCACTCACCATTAATGGCTTAGATCTTTGGTGACTTTAGTCTGTTGCAAGCGGCTAGAGGAAAACCTGGATTCAAAGGCATGCATATTTTAAAAAACAAAAATACCAATCAAGGTGTTTCCTTAAAATGCCCTGAATAACTACCAAACCAAGGTCTTCCATCTGCCAAGGCCCCGAACTCAAGTCAGCCTCCCTTACAGCTTGCTTAGGTGTTTGTGGCTTATGCTAACTGACGAGTTGTCTTAATCAGCCCTTGTATTTTTGGAGGGGACCTAGGAAGTAATGAACCACAAAAGCTGATTCGTGCCAACCTCTGCCTTACTAACTGTATTCTCATGATAAGCAGACAATCTAACCCATGTTATCAAAAAATATGTTTGGCGCTGGACTTCCTGACTGGTCAGCATTTATTGCACGGCTCTAGGAAAGCGGTTTGTAGCCTCCTTCAGCGGGCAGAACCTCGTGGCCTGTCCCCAGCACTGTACAAATAAGCTTGGCTCAAGCCGATCGTGTGGTTCCCCGCTCTTCAGTGGGGCCGTGGGGGATTTTCCCCTTCGCTATATGCTTTTCTCAGACCACAAACACCGTAAGCCATGCCCAGGGAGCCACGAGTTTTGCTCGTCTCCTGGTTGGAGCAATGCCTCTGAACCGGCCATCTTGGCTGCAATCCACCAATGGTTCAGGCAGTCCTTGGGCACACAGGTGCCACCTCTCTTCTCACGCCATTCCTGCAACCTTCTTTGAATTGCACCCTCTGAAAAACACAGGAAACCCTCAGTAGCCCTGGGAGAACCCCACACGGTCGGTCTTCCCAAGCACTTGGAGAAGAATTAATTTTCCCCAAGAAGCTGCTCCCAAGATGCCATTTCTTGCTCTGCCACGCCTGCTTCCCCTCTTTCCTTCAAAGTGACAATATTGGGAGGGGGGGACTTCTATTTCTTGAATCAACTACACGGTGGGGTCTTCTCAGGGGTGTCCACAGTGTGTGTCAAAAAAATCATCACGGTGGCCACGATGGTGCGATCAAAGCTCTCCCTGGATCTTTTTTTACACACGCATCACCATCTTGACTTTTTTGGCCACAGCCTGCAGAACACCCCCCCCCCCCCCCCGGCTCTTAATAGAGCTGCTATTGTGCAAAATTGCTTCTGGTGGCGCGCAATCCTCACTCGTTCCCCGGGCCCAGTGGTACCGACGATGTCCAGGTGGGCGATGGAAAGGCCGGAGGTGAGCTGTTCCCACCGTGTTGGCCAGGTCAGCTATTAACCTCATGACTGCATTGGGAACACCTGGGAAGCTGGGTTACCTTTAACCTTGATTGTGCTTTCAAGTCCATGGCTTTGCAGTCCTGGACAAACCCAGCCAGTGAGTTAATGCGCTAACCAGGTTAACCATGTTGAACTAACAGTCCTTTCCTCCTTGGGGTGCCTCTTCTTCATCCCCCTCCATCAACCAGTGTGCACACACACACCCCACAATGCCAGCTTTGCACAAACGGGCAGTGTTTTCTTTGCAAATGGGGAAGGAGGCAGTGACGGCTTTGTGCTTCTGTCGTTGCAGGAGAAAAAGGGCCAAGAGATTCAGAAAGGGCCCGAGGTGGAGATTTCAAAGCTGGACAAGCTGCTGAACCTGGTGAGGGAACCGACCACCAAGACCGGCAAGTGAGGAGACAGGTGGGCAGGGCGCCAACACGCACCTCTCCCCTGCGGCAGGGACGCCCCCGAGTCCAGGAGCAAGAACGCTTCATCCAGGACGGCGCCCGGACGGGGTGGGCGGCTGTGCCAAAGCGGCCTTTTCTTCTGACACAAAGAGGTTTTGTTCGGGGCTTTGCATCCAGAAAAATAAAAGCGGAGATTTGACACCAGGGCTGAGAGACTGCACAGCATCCCGCTGCACAAATACCCGCCTTTTCCTGAGGCCCAGTCTAGCAGAAACAGCTATGGCGCCGACATCGATGCCCACGCTGTGCACACACTTCCCTCGGTTCAGGGATCTTTGCTAAACGGGCCCGAGATCAGAAAATACCGAGAGATTTCTCTCTCTCTCTCTCACACACCAGCTTCTGGCTATCAGTCTGTCTTCAACAGTGAAAGTCTCCTTTGAATTAAATGACTCCACGGCCACCTCCATTTGGTCTTTTGGCCATAATCCTGAGGTGGTTTGCCCCAGCTTTCTTTCAGAGCAGTGTTTCTCAACCTTGGGAACGTGAAGATGTGTGGAGTTCAACTCCCAGAATTCCCCAGCCAGCATGGGAGTTGAAGTCCACACATCTTCACTTTCCCAAGGTTGAGAAACACTGTTTCAGAGTGTATTTTCCCATTTACCTGTCTAACCTACACCTTTGCAATTCCTTCATGGTCTCCCATCCAAGGCCTAACCAAATCTGACCTGCTTAGCTCTGGGGGGAATCATCCAAAGTCCACAAGCTGCAACAGAGACCCCCATTAAAGGAAATCCAGAGACCCTGGCCCCTGCCCCATCTCTTTCCTCCCCATCATGCCCCCCTCCCAATCTTTGCAGCCGTTGGTTAACATGCAAAGGGCTTCCTTGGTGGCCTTGGCACAAATCTGTCTAGTGGAGTTGAGCCCCCAGGCAGAAGGATGGAGAAGCAAAGCTGAGCTGGTCTCTTGCATTTGAAGACACCGCAGCCCCTCCGCTGCCCAAGGAGGGGGGCTTGATGGGTGTGTGTGTATGCAACGACCCACACACACGCAGTGTCTGTGCCAGCCCTTTTACACCCTTAGTGTGCTGTGACCCTTTCACAGCCAGCTGAGCTGCAGGAAGTCCTTTTAAAAAACAGTCCTGTTTTGGGAAATCCAGATTTATTTTATTTTGGAGTCCAGATGCAAGGCAGCTTCAAACATTTTCAGATTACAAATGATACAGTCCTTTATCAGCCAGTAAAGTCATTATTGGACAAGGACGCGTCACTTCCAGGGGAGGGCCCTTAGCACGAGAAGGGGCAGGCGCTGCTCTCTGCACCCAGGGAAGCCACCGAGACCCGTCCCGCCCCTGCCGGAGACGCGACCAGGATCTGAGCCCCCCATCCCACTTCTTCCAGCAAGGGGTCTACCTGGGCCTGGCAGCTCCCTCCCTGTGCCCAACCCCAACCACCCCCACGCCTCTTTCTTGGAAGGCTGGGGATGCTGGCAACTCTGTTCCCTGCCAGAAGGGAGGAGGGGGCAGATCACCGAAGGGACCCCCAAGCCTGTGGCAAACCAGCCTG